CTGCCTTTAATCATAGGTTCAGGTATGGAAATCATGTGAAACGCTGATCGATGCATAACTCAATCGATGTCCTGAATATCGTTTTTTTCAGGAATTGGGTCATTACTATGACGGCTACGTTTATTGCTTCTTGGGCACGGCAGTAAGAGTCTCACCAGAGTCAGAGTCAACCAGCCTCATATCCGTTGGAACTGGAATGATGGCGAAAGCACTGACCTCCCGACCGGCACAGCAAAGTAGAAAATCATGTACATGCGACTACGAATGGTACCGGTAAACATGTCTGAAATCATTGACGGGACCACGTTCGAGTAGGAAGCTTCACCAACTCCAACGATTCCACGGAATAGTAGAAACAGCCAGAAGTACTGAAACAGGGAAAAAGGAAAAGTCTAAAATTGTGATAATATAAAATACATAGTTGAGAGATAATTGAGAAGATAATTGAGCTTATCAGCAGCTAATTTTATTTCAACGTAGATTTCTATTCAAACCTCAGATGGCACAAAAGTTGATGCAATCACAGCAGCCAGCCACAATGTTACACCAACAACCACAATGAGTTTTCGATTGAATCTACAAGTATAATAGTTGTAAAGCGAAGTACATCTATTTTGTGAACTTAGAAAATAAGTTGTCAAGAGCTTCGGGAAAGTGTATGAGAGAAAAGAGAAGTTAGTATAAACAGCAAGTTCCCCAGCTCATTACAAGACCCGCCTTTCTTGGAGGAGTTATGAACTCATGAGAAAAGATTCTCCAGACTTAATACCCATACCCCACATCCTTTCATTAAATTGTGATGGGCTTACATCAATGTCGCAACTCTCTGCTAACAGTTGCTGCACCTGTCGCATATATTACTTCATTCCTACATCCTACGACTTATGAACATGCAATAAGTTTTTCTTTCACTGAGATTTTTGTACGTTTATCTAAGTTCACTCAACGCGGAACTCTCGCGAATCTTTATGAGGTATGTAGCCAGGCTGGATAGGTCTCGTCTACATTCACTGAGTCTGCACTGCTCTATTAGTATGCTTCAGATTGTGGCATGTATACTTACCGATCTCCTAAATATCCACAAAGAGGCGATCCGATCATAAAAAATACCAAGAAAACGGTTTGTATAAGGCCTGCCATGGAGTCGTCGATGTGATAGAACGCTTGGACTTGCGTAAGCACTCCTTAAAAGTCATCACGTTAAGGAACAATTGAACAAAAATTCCAGGTCAAAGTTATGGTCGCTGTATAGCGTTCACGATCCCAAAGAATCGAATTGGATTTCATGTAAGTAAAGGTATTTTTTCGTCCCATCGTTTCGGGCAAGTGACGAGAAAAGAGGCTTGTGCTGTAGTCTCAAACCTTCACAGGCGTCGATAGTCAACGTCACATCAAACAAATATTAAGCCGCTAGAGGAAACTGTCGACGCGCGCTCACTTTATTGGATCTATAGTGATTTTAGATAAAAACCCAAAAAATAGAAAGTCTCAGTCAGCTGGAATAATTGATCTTCGATTGGTTCTTCTGAGGGTGATGTCTTTACCAATACCCACGTGAAGCCGTAGATGTCTCCCTTCTTTGCCATTTTTTGTTCCTCTTAAACTGATATTATCTGGTGCTTACATTTCATTGAGAAAA